GGTTTGCTGTAATAATAAGTGAGATTGATAAGCTCAATAATTATAACTGAGCAAGATGGAACGTTGGCGTAACTGAACTAAAATAAACTCTTATAAAAATTAAAACAAATAATTACACAATCACCGTTGGCTAATTCATGAATGATTTACTATTTTATTACGCGCCTTTGGTGGAATTTGCAATATTTAAGTGGATTTTCTTGCTTTTTCTCTCAACTAAAAACGTATTAGACCTATGAAAAATGTTGATAAATTAGGCGTTCCACACGACCCACAACTCGGTCCTACCCGATTTCTGTTTTATATTTCTTTTCTTTTTCTTTTTATGTTTTTCTTTTTCTTTTGTTTTTTTTTTCAGGACGTAGGCGATCATGGCTCTCCACCTACTTCTATCTCTTGCAGCTCTCAACAAGTTCCTTCCCTCTGCTTCCACCCCCGTCCACGTTCTGTCATCCACCTGCTCAAGCTCGCCAGGTATGTCACGCGCTGCTTTCCCTTGTCTCTCTTTCCCTCTATTCGACCCGTTAGTATCATTTTCCAGGCCCCCCCTTCTTCATTATGTGTCCCAGAAACTTCAGCTGCCTCTTCTTAATGTTAAGTATAAGCCTTCTTCTTGTTTACAACATCACTAAGACTTCATCGTTGCTCATACGCTCGGTCCAGGATATCCTTAGCGTCCTTCTGTAGAACCACATATCTGTCGTTCGAATCTCTTCTTCATCTTTGAGGAAATCGTCCAACATTCGCCGCCGTAAAGAAGAACAGATGTCACGTAACAACTCAGTATACTTTTCTTTGTTACCAAAGAAACCCTTCTGTCTCGCAATACTCTACTCTGGAATGTGTCCTTGGTCATCCCAATATGTCTACGGATCTCAGTGTCGCACTTACCGTCTTCTATCAAGACTTTTCCCAGATATTTAAACTTCCGTATCTGCTTAATTCTAGTGTCCCGACTTGCAAATCTTAATGTTGACCATGCATTCTGTATTGTAGTTTATGCTTAGTCCTTTCTTCTCACTCTCCGTTGCTAGCTTCTGTAGGAGATTTTGTAATTTCTTTTCCGTGTCTGCTATCAGTGCTGTGTCATCTGCGTATCTTATGTTGTTAAGGTTGTGTTCGCCGATGCTAAATCCGGGTAGGGTTTCCAATTCTCTTAGAATTGCTTCGTTGAACAGGTCGGGTGAGAAAACGCATCTTTGCCTTACGCCCCTTTCTATTTTTGTATACTCACTGAACTCGTTCCCTATGCGTATGCATGCTGTTTACTGTCAGTATAGGTTCTTGATTATTCTGATATCTTTCCCGAATATATCAAAGTTGTTGAGCAGTTCCATCAGATCCTTGTGGTGTACTTTGTCGTAGGCCTTTGCGTAGTCTATGAAACATAGGTACATGTCGTTCTGCATCTGTGATCGCTCTTTCTGATAACATTCTGAGCATGAATATCGTGTTCCTTGTTCCGGTGTCTTTAACGAACCCGCACTGTTCTTGTACTATCTCTGCGCGCTCTGTTCAACAGAATATGGATGATAAGTTTTGTCACGTGGCTCATTAAGCTTATTGTTCGGTGGAGTTCGCATTCGTTTGCGCCTGGTTTCTTAGGCATAGCTATGAAGATAGATCTGCTGAGGTCTTTCGGTATATTCCCGTTGTTGCATTTGTTATTTCGGTGATCTTGTCTAAGCTAAAGTCATCTAAGGCTGTCAGCATTTCCGTTACAATTCCGTCTGGCCCAGATGCCTTGTTTCTATTCACTTTGGCCAGTTCGGCTTTTACTTCGGTTTTAAGAATTCCAGGTCCGTCGGTAGTTCTGTGTATTGCTGGTTGTTCCCTTTCGTCGTGGAAGAGTTCTCCAATATACTCGCTACAGAGTTGAGGAACTTTTTCTTTCTCTAATATGAGCGTTTCACCCTTTGATTTTAGGCAGCCTGTTGACGAGCATGTCTTCTGTTAGTTGTTTTATTTGTTTGTGCATGTCCCTTTTGTTGGTAGTACTCAATCTTTCTATTTCTGCACATTTTTTGTTTAGCCATACTTCTTTAGCTTACCTGCATTTGGTCCTTATTTCATTATGTAATTTTCTGTACTCTGTTCCATATCTTGACAGAGTTTTCTGTCTCCTTTCCATCATGTCGAGAACCTCATCAGCCAATCATTTTTCTTTCTTCGTCCTGTCTCCGTTTGCTGATGTGTCTCTTAGTGCGCCCCATTTTGAGTTTCCATTGCCTCGTATCTTCTCTTCACATTGTCCATATATTTTTCTTTTAGGTTAGGATCGCTCAGGAGTTTGTTGTATTGCAGTTTGAGTGCTGCATTAAGCTTTTTCAGTTTCCGTAGTTTCACTCTTAGTTTACATATAAGAGGACGATGATCGCTTCCGCAGTCGGCGCTTCGGTAGGTTTTGCAATGAATCATTGCATTCCTGAATCTTTTGTTGATGATTATATAATCAATTTTGTTTTTACTTTCTCCCCCTGGACTCCTCCATATTCATAGTCGTCTCGGATGATTTGGAACCATGTATTGGCTATTACCTGGTCATTGGCTGTAAACCATTGGATCCATTTTTCTCCGCGTTTGTTACGGGTTCCTAGTCCGAATCTTCCCCTGCCTTTTCCTTGCCCTTTTCCTTCTCTCTTTTGGATTTTAGGTCTCCCATGATAATGATGATTTCCTGTGACTTGCATAGAGCCTTGGCACTGTCCGGCATGGGGTAGAAAGATTCGATGTCCTCCTCCTTGCTTTGTGCCGTCGGTGCGTACATTACTATAATAATCACGTTAAACGGATTCCCTTTCAACATCACTACCAGAATTTTTTCGGGAAGTTGGCGGTATCCAAGAACGCATTTCTAAAATGCACTATCTAGTATTAGTCCTACTCCTTCGTCGTTCTTCTCGCCTGTATAAATAATCCTGTGTTTGTCGCTGACAAAATCACCGTTGTTTGGCTATCTGGTTTCACATACACCTAGAATGTTAATGTTAAGTCTGTTCATCTCTTGTTTAACATTATCAAACTGGCCGCAGTGTTCGGATGTTCCATATCCCGAGAATTATTTTGTGTTTGATACGAGTTTTATATTTACGTTTTCAGATCGGTAGTAAATATCTATGCAGATGATACCATAGTTTATGGGTCCATCTCCAAAATCTATATGATCACGTTTTGGCAACTGATTTCTCACCTAATCTAGCCCTAACAATCCAATGGAGGAAAACTGGCCTTTAACTTTTAATACCTCAAAAACAAAGCTAGTAATTTTGGATAAACACCATGCTGGCCCGAAATCCTCACCAATCACAATGAATGATCGCACTATCAAACGGGCGCTTTTATTAAGGCTCAAGTTCATCCCAGGCCTCGAGTTGAATTCATATATACGATCCATCGCTAAATACGCTGGAAAATGGTTAGCTTCTTATAGCTCTCCAGAAAGTTCCCGACATGCTCTATATGAGCGAGATGAAATAAAAAACGAAGTATTGGTGCCATATTTGGATTGGGTTTGCCCACTCCTCTCTTTCGAGCCTCGACCAAGTTCAAAATCGTTTACGCTGCTTTGTAGGCAATGACTTTCACTCTACAACTATTTTCTCACAGACGTCACAAGCCTCTCGCTACTTTTATGATAGTGTTCTGATGTGCTACAGTTCCTAGTTCCACACATTCATACTTTTACAGATAAGACCGGCTGTATGTCATGTACACAGAGTTGAATCATCCTTATTCCTCTTGCATTCCATTGGTAAGAAAGAAGTTTCACCCAGACAGCTTCTTCCCAAGAGTCGCTTGTTTTGTAGAACATCTTCCCGAAAGGATAATTTCCCGACCACTACAATTTTAATCTCTTGAAGTTTAGGCTCGACCGTTAACTATCCTATATATAATCCTAATCTACATTTTCATAAAACAACTCTACTCAATAACCCTTTACTTTGAGTACTCTACCCAGTACTAAGCAACTAGTGATGCCAATATTGTAGATAAATGAAATAAGCAAATTAGATCAGTATCATCAAAATAATTATATGTTCCTAGGACCGGGTCAACAAAGTCGTGTTTATGGTTGGAACCAGTACAGTGATGTAGCATTTTTTTTCTGCTGTGTGATGTGAGCATAGGACGGTAGCGATTCATCGGTGCACCGCTCAATTGGGCTTTTGGAGTTAAAATTGATCTTTCAGCCTATGTTCAGGACAGGGCTCCAACATCGCTTGTTTTATTTTGACCCTGTTTGTTTGGCAAAAAGAAAAGCGTTTATTTTGTTTTTTCTTTTTCATGTTTACGAACTGCTCCTCCCTGGCTGCCCCATCTTTGGCTAGATGTATATCCTCTTACTCCTTTTCTTTTCGTTCCTGTGGCTCGCTAGAGGTTTTCGTTTGCAGCACTGACATGTCGCTACCGACGAGTTGCTCAGCGAACCAAACGAGCCCCCGTTCGAGTCATCGACAACCGCTACGACTTCGAGTAAGCGGTGCGTGTTGGATTGCTTTTCATCTGTTCGCTATACTATCCCTTCATCTTACCACTGAGTCCACAACTACATCTGAGCCTCAAACAAAGCCGGTGATCTCGATTTGATTTTTGAGTAAATGGTGACCTACAATAATTCTACCAACAATTGACAAAACAATGTCTCTTCAAGCTTATGATAAGTGATTAAATAGTCGTCAGACTTTTTAAACACGTATTCGTTTTCTTTTAATCCAGACTTTAATAATCTTCGTTTATTTTAATAGATGTCGTTCGTTATTTGTGGTATTCTATGCCCTTCAAAAAAATGGATACAGTACGAATATTTCGTCTGAGCTAATCAAAAATGTATCCATCCAACCTACATAAATAGTGATAAGCTATACGTATTTTGGCAAAGTGTTCACAGATAGTGGACAGACATACACTGTTGATAATTTGAAACTGACAAATCGTTCAGCATTTTGATAGTCAACCTAGTAGAAATGTCAATGTTTTTACACGAAGGAAAGCTTGGAGGCTTACGGCCACATCACACTGAAACACCGGTTCCCGTACGATCACCGAAGTTAAGCAACGTCGAGCCTGGTCAGTACCTAGATGGATAGCCGCTTGGCAATAACAGGTTATGTAAGCTTGGATGTGCGGGTAATGTAATGTTTGGGACTTTTAATCGGACAGTCGAGTTACAATTCCAGCTTGGTTCGTTATACTCACGTAGAAATAACCTTGGGAAAGCTATGAATTCATTTCTTCTCCCCCGGGTATGGGTTAAATAGTAAACTTGTATCACTAAAACCATTATTATCGCAAGAAAAAATTGTATACAAAATACTTAGATTTCGACATTAAATACCCCATAGAGATTGATATGCTGCTAAATAAAAAACAAACGAAAAGCTTGGCCTTGACAATAATTTTGTCGCTGATAATGGATAATATTTCTAAGAAACTATTTTAAGAAACGGTTTTAAGAACGACACATCCAAGGCCATACATTTGACCTGGATAGATTGAGAAAATTCATAAACTGAAGAATGACATTAGACTATCTATACAGTTTACAATTAGAAGAATTTGTTTTCTCAGATGTATAAATTGTGCTTATAAACGAACCATACGTAAACTTTAACTTCCATCACACGTGCAATAATGAACAGTTTTGTAACTTTGAGTAAATCACAAATATAAAGACACTTATCAATGCAAAATGTTTATTAATAAAAGGACTTTCAACAGAAACGAATATATCTCTTAAACAATATTGGAAAATAAAAAATATTTTTACCCTACCTTATATGTGAAACATGCCAGAAAAATATAAAGCGTCTGTAAGAAAAACAATATTAGACAGTCTTCAGAAGATTGGTGACAATGTACGCAGCCAAAGCAAAAAAAGATAGAGTTCATTTCTTGATAAAAATGTAAGAACTACATGTTCAGCATCTTATACATCTTTGGCAGAAGATATAAAAATGAAACAAGTTGACTCTTCAGTATCAGAGAAAGTAGACAATATATAGAAAGAAAATAACTTCCATTTCTGAAATAAAATCTCAATAACTCATACGAAAGTAAGAAAGTTTGATACATAGTATGATAAAAAAAATCCCATCAGCAAGCCAAGCGTAGAAATTGATGTTACAAAGAAACTAAAAAAAATCCAACACAAACACACGGACAAACAAGAAGACATAATCTAGTTCATCATGCAATGCAACATGACGAACAAATCAACAGTCGCCGACTATCAAGTAAATTCCAATTTTCTTTTTTTTTCTTTTTTTTTCTTTTTTTTTTGGGTGGAGGGGGGGATAGAAAAAATAGTAGACCAAAGAATTAATTTCGCTTAGTTTCGTTCTTGCATCTTTTTCAACAATTTGAAAAACAGGTTTTTAAAGAATATGTAATATGTTGACGACTAGAGGGAAAATGTAAATATTAAATGCTATCAAGTATTTTGGTTATGGTGGTGAAAGCGTGAATATGACCATTTGGCAGTTTAAAGACTCACTCAGCACTAGTCCATTTCCTTGTACCACTTTCACATATTATAGATTGCATTTTCGTAAACATCCCAAAGAATCATCAACATCATTTCCTTGGCTCGTCTCGTATATTACACCGAATTAGTTTTTCCTGTGTAAGGAAATTCTGATGTAGTGGATGCACTTTGGAACAAGGAAAATATGCAATTGACAAGATTTCATAATTATTTGATATCACATAAACCTTCAGCAAATTAAACCATTCAAATTATTTCATCTAATTTATCTTAATACGTTGAATTTTACGTTATATTTTTATACTTATTTTTTTTATTTGAATTTCTTGTGATCAAGTATTTAATCATTTTCTTTTTCAGCTGACTGTAGCTGACACCTTTAAATTTTTATTTTTATTTTTAGCGATCTTTTGCAGTTGCTACTAAAATTTATGAATAAACTTCTAATGATAAACACTTGTGAATTAATTTCCATTTTATGCGAGCCGGTTCCGGTTCCACTTCCACTTTTCGTGCAGATAACCGTTACTCTACCGACGTATACTGTTCTCCTATTAAAGATGAGAAAAACACCAAATAGTCAGCAATAACTCCATTACAAGCGAAAATCGTAAAACTGAATTGAATTAGAAAACCATAAAGAGTATTCAATAAATGTATTGCAAAAATACCATATAAGCTATGCCTGGAAGGAGAATACAAGTGCTTATTGGTTTTGGTGAAGGATAGCTTGGTTTGAAAAAAAGAAAATTATTTTCGATCGGAATGTCACTTCCGGGTACTCATTATTCTGTGAAGGCTACTTCCTGGGCTCCTGTAAGAATGGGTAAGTGACGGCATCTGTAAAAAGAAGGAAGTAACAGCGGTCAGTATGTGTCACTACTACTTCTCGTCTTAAGGAAAAAGAAACGAGGAAATGCTATGGCGGTGGTTAGCAAAACTTTATTGGTACTGTTCCTTTTATACGCGATACAATATGGTATGAAATTGAAAGAAAATCAACTAAATCTATGTCAGCTGACTGTTAATGCACATAATTTATTGGAATAGTACATACAAATTTACGTATAAGCTTTCATTATTGCTCCATTTTCTCCACTTACTTCAGATTAAATTATTTCTTATTTTCATTTCTGATAGAAAACTATTTACTTATAAACAATAATTGCATCTTTATGTGGAATATTTGGCTGTTGAAATGATACTTCTATTTATTTGTAGTGACTTAGTTTCTACCCGAAAGAAAGTAAACTTCTTAGAGTTTCACAATGAGAAAGTTGACCAATATGTAAAATACGATTTTGTGTTTTTATGGTGGTTACATAAAGTGACATTGATATTTTTTTAAAATTAAGATTTTAATTAATATAAAATCTGGGGTTTAAAATTGTCTCACATATTGCAAATAACCTGATAATAATATCCCTCTATCTATACTTTACTGACCTTCATCCTTCAATGTAAGAAATTTGATCAGGGTAAATGGATATAATTATAAATAACACTTGAATTTTAACGATCAATTTGGGGGTAAACTAGAACCTGATTTTAAGATGTTGAAACATTCACTTAAACAAAAATTCAGAATTAACCAGCCGAGATTTGATGCTCAAAAAAGGGACTCAACTTATTAAGCATTATTTCAAAATTTTTAAGTTTTGACAATTGGTTAAAATATGGCCGATTTAAAATCGAAATTCAGAAGAGCATTTCAACTTTAAACATTTACATACATACACTATGAAGGAGAAAATGAGGATATGTGAAAAAGGAATCGAAAAATCATTACAGCCTTTTCTGACACTTGTGCCACAACTAAACTACACTTAGTAAATCACTATGATTTACTAAGTCTAGTTTAGTTGCGGCACAAGGCCGAAAATATGGGGCACCCAGTGGAGATCGAACTCACTACTCAGTCGTAATTGAAGTAGCGAGACAATGACACTTGTGTATTTTTGTCGTGTTAAAAGTTTCTAGCAAAAAAAAAAAAAAAAAAACTGTGTATTGATTCCCTAGTAAAAAGTAAATAGAAAAGCGATAGGAATTTTCATACACACTGGATAGTAATCATTCATTATTTTTCATAAACAGGGAGAGTTTTTTGGCAATCGGTCTCATACTTGCCATAATCCATGGCATAAATATTCATAATTCAAAGTTTACAACGCAAACGCCTTATTGCTACCTAATTTTGGTACATTACTTAAAACTTTCATATATTATATATATTAATAGCATTTTTTATTTGCAGCTTGTAATCAATAATTATAGATAGACGTGTTGCAGGCGTAACTCCACCCTTTAGCGATATATATAAATTTTTGGCCCACATCCCTCACCTTATGAACTTTGCCATGATCCAAATTTAACTTCCTATTCTAAATTTAGACCATCTTTAATTGCATTCAAGAGTATGGTATAGTAATGACATTAAGGACACTTATGATGATATCTCAAAAGTAGAGATGATGCCTGGTGGTTTTCATGATTAATAGTCCATTTTAAGTACGAGTTGTTTTTTATACATTAATGTTCACCCGATACAAGGCCTAAGCGCCACTCAAGGTAGAGGGTTATTGTGTGAGCATAAGAAAAGGCAAGAAGTGAAGTTCATGGGGTTATGCAAGAAAGATAACGCATAATTCTGGACTTGAAGAGGTCAAAATTAAAATGATTGGGAAAACATCCTACCGGGAGTCTGTTTCACAAGGCAGCAGCTCTTGGGAAAAAATGTCCGAATGGAACTTACTTCTTATCATTGGAATGGCGATGATTCACATTTGTGTACGTGGCATAGTAAACCCAGTTGTAAAGGTCAGGGTTAGTAGGACTAAAGAATGTTGCTCATGCCATGGAAATAGCGATAGGGCTGCTAGAAGCTCACAACATTTCATCTGTGGGAAAGAGGTTGTAAGGCGGAAAATAATTCATTACCCACAAGTCCGCGTAGACGCTTCTGAACGCTATCAAGAGTGATTTTCTTTAACTATCAGCCTTCCTGGACCATGAAAAAATTTAATTTCAAAACGACAAGTCTTTCGTCTAAGCAATTAATCTTGTCCAGTGAAAATTATTATGTGACGGTCACTCTGAAAATCAGTGTTTGAAATCATAGATTTTACTTGAACTCGAACACTGAAGACTTGCGGCGGTGATAAAATTCACGCACAGAGATCAACCATCAAACCATATTCTCTCTATCTCTCTCTCTCAAACAAGCACACACTATATAAGGGAATGCTAAAAAATTCCCAAATCTAACCAAATGACCCCTCGAGCATACTACTTTTATAGGTATGTATAATATTCAGTTTTATATTTTCACAATTATGCTTCCTAGATTTATTTTACTTATTTATAAATCACTTATCCCTTTTGGGATAAACTCCTTTAAAAGGCTAACAGGCATAGCTTATTAAAAACACATTTAACAAGCGAATATCACTTTTTAGTTTATGGTACAAGCTATTTTAAACGATATCATTAACAAGACGCTTTTCGATATAACAATGCAGTAAAAAAATGGACAAAGTAAAACTGCTGTAAGAATAAAAGTAGAAGATAGAAAGAGAAGAAAGAAACCTGATGATAACGAGGAGGAGAATATTGAAGATGAGGATAATGA